AAAGGGTTAACTCAATTAAATTAAAATAAATAAATTGAATAAAATCTTATTTCTATCAATATTAGTCTAACCATTGAAATGATTTATTATATTAATATAAGATTTCATTATTTATTTAAGAGTTTTATTTATTTCAATAAATATCTTCCATTCGTATAATATATGTTAAATCGATCGAATTATTTCAATTTCTAGTGAAAATAATTCTTTGAATATATTATATCTTTCGAATATAATTTATCAGTTTTTTTTCCCTCATTTCAATATTAAAAAACTATTTTATTAAATCGAAATAAATCAAACATAAATAAAGATAATAAATGAGATTTATTTTTATTTTTGAATCTCTAATATAAATAAATCTATTAATATTATGATATAACTATATTCAATAGAATTACAATTATAATAACAAAAACAAGAGAAACATCTTATTATATAAATCGATTATTTAAAATGTTAATTAAAATAAATATATATATATATATTGAAAAAAAATTTATATATAATAAGTTGTTGTCTTTTTATTTAAATTAAAAAATGAAAATCTCATCCAAGGATATGCTGCAAGACTTGATCGTCTTGATCGTTGTTCGGAATTTAATCGATTGTCATCAGATAAATAATTCTCATTTACTAATCTCTCAATAAAAGAATTCATTCTATTAAATGATGTCATACACACTCTTTTTTTTTCAATATAATAATTATATAACGAAACGACGAAAAAGAACAGAGAATCCTTCGATAATCAATTCTTTACCAAATATTCGAATATAATATAAACAAATCATTTTCTAATAGAGATATTTTATTTCTAACAATTAACTATTTATAGAGATAACCTTTTACTTTTTTAAACAATTAACCATTTACATTGAAATAAAATCTTCTATTTTACATCGAATTATCTTTTAGTTTCATTGAGAAATTTTTTTTCGATTAAAATATTCTAATAAGATATAATATATGTAAAATCTCGTTTCGATCTTCAAAGATGAGACAACTATCAATCTCGACATTTTTTGATTAGGATTCAATATTATTCTATAGTGACAATTTTATCTCGAAAATAAAATAAAATCAGTTTACCCGATTTTCAATAAGTATGGATTCCTTATTCAATATTAAAATTTATATCTATTTGTTTGTTTTATTTCACTTTAGACAATTGAACAATTTTCTGCTGAAACAAATTGAACAACATTTAGTATTACTTGATAAAATAATCGAAATTGAATTATGATAAGCACAAAATCGTTTTCAATCACGACGACAAACACTAAAGTTATCATGAATTCTTCGTTTTGTTTTTTATTGCTGTTTGATTAATTCTATGATAATATTAACAAAATACAACGCATTCTTCCCTTTTCTTTGAAAGAGATCGAGATAGAGAAAATTGATATTAATGTATATAAAGATAAAAAAAGTGAATTTAATTTAGGCTTTTTTTTTCTCTTAATCATGAAGTTGGTAAAGTCAATGCAACACCATGTTTTATTTAACGTTATTTTAATTGATTTGTTGATAAATAAATAGGCATAACAAAATTTGTTGAATGACTCGTTGTTGTAAGTATGTCACGTCGTTCACTTGTTTTATATACTGAACATTCATATGTCCCATCGGTATTTAATTCATTTGTTTTTATGTGTCATATATATATATATTTTTTTTTTTTTTTTTTTTTTTTTTTTGTCTTTCTCTCGTCCATAAATCATTGTTCATGTTGTTATCGTTGACGATCAATGATCAACATGTACAATTAAATATGTATATCATTTTCGACGAGAGAAAAAAAAAATGATTTTTCAGCGTATATATACGAATGATTTTCTATGTAAAATCATTCAAATTTTTGAATCAAATAATAATCATTTTTCTTTTTCTATTTTAGATTGACCTCGATGATACAAAATTAATCAAATCAAGATGAAGCCATACAATAAAAAAAAATGTAGGTATCAGTTTTAATTTTTTTTCTTTTTTTTATTTAACGATTATAAGGATGGTGAAGTAAGACCTCCTATAATCTTTTTAATTTATTTTTTTTTCTTTTGTCTTAGGTTCGATGAATATTTTCAACTATGACAAGGTAACAGTGGGGTAAGTTAACTCATTCTTTTTTTTTGTCATTATATAACATTAAACTAATTTTTCTTTTTAGATAGTCATCGTCTTGCATTCAATATCAATTAATAGAATTGTAAGTATAGATTTCTTTATAGTTAGTGAGATAGATAAGGTATGAGTGAGAGTGGGGATAGGGCTACCCTAAGATAAGTGAGATAGAGTTATGGGTGTTAGTTAGATCGTCTTCCCAGGTTAGACGTTAAACACTGGCCAGGAACTATCTTGGTGTCCGTGGCACACGACCAGGCTTATTCAGACTCATTGACATATCTCTCGCGGGGAGGGTATGAATGATATGAGTCTGTCCTGTGCGTGCATGAGCGTTACGCTCGTCACGGCTCCACCAGGATGGTTCCTGGTCGCGCGCGCGCGAATAGAATAAGCCATTCATTTCATCAATTCAATGCGATTTATTTGAAAAGAAAGGAACGCAAAAAAAAATCTATCACGACGAGTCTATTCGATTGAAAAGCGTTGAACACGATGATTCCCATAATCGACGACATAGAGATTGCCATGTCGATCGAAGGACAAACCGACGGGATAGTTGAACTGATTTGCTCCTTCTCCTTGACCATTTCCACCCACAATGAGAGTGCCCTGTTTCGCTCCTTTAGGCCAACGCATCACTCGATGATTCCACGAGTCTGCCACATAGATGGTACCCAATGTATCGACGAGTACTCCGCGAGGATTCGACAATTGTGTCATAGCATTCCCTTGTCCTTGACCTCCAGCGACGACAATTCCTTCTTTTGCACCTTGATTCCATTTCATTACACGATGATTCCAGTTGTCTGACACGTAGACAGTCTGTTGTTGATCGACAAAGATGTAGGTCGGAAAGCTTAGTTGATTGAGACCAGCACCTTCGCCATTGCCACCAGCCACGAGAGTTCCATTCTTGTCTCCTATTTGATATCGTCTTACTTCATGTTTGTCGACGTCAGAGATGTACAGATATCTCTGATCATCCATGGCCAATCCAAAACAAGCGATGTTGTCGATGAGGATTTCTCCTTGAGTTGTACCACTACGACGAGACCATCGTACGACTCGTTGATTCTTCGAATCACAAATAATGAGACTATGCGTCTCTTTGTCAATCAACACATCGGTTGGACTATTCAATTGATCCAATCGATTTCCTTTGCCATTGCCACCAGCTACTACTTGTCCATTCGTATCACCCATCTTCCATTGGATGATACGATGATTGTCGCAGTCAGCGATGACTATCGTTTGATCATCATCAACGAAGAGACCCCAAGGGTGATAGAGTTGATTGGTGGCATTGCCCTGTCGATGGCCTCCAGCAACAGTCACCCCATTCTGTTTCCATCGGGCATCGACTGGAATATTGGGAATTACTACAATGAACAAAAAAGAAAAGGAATCATCGTTGTCGAAGGGATTCCGTCTCTCGTGAGAGCAAGTGCTACAAATACGACATTCATCTTTGAGAATGCTCATTCCACAGATAAAAACTCAGAAGTCTTTTCCTAGTTTCTTATCAGAAAAAAA